AAAGACTTAGGTTATTCGATAATATTATACCCATCATTAAGAGAAGGCAAATGCTGTGAAAACTAAAACAATGAGAGGGGTAAATGACGATAACTTTCAAGATAAGAGAAAATGGTGATACTATTCAAATTACTGGTAATGATAATGCTTTATTTCTTTGAACACAGATAATGTAAATACTAGGGTAGAAACATGAGTAAAATAACAGGCACCAAAAAAAAACATTAATTATGCAATGCATTTCAGGAAACTAATCATAAGAACTAGACATGGCATTGTGTAGGACTTCTTGTGTACTTATGTTATTATCCATCCTGTCCTTTTCCTGGTCTTTGCTAAATGTACCTTACTGTGTTCTCTAAGTGATATGTCGTCTAACATTATTCCTAAAAATCCTACCTGGTCTCTTCATTCCATGAAAAGCCCTTCATTTTGTATCCTGTGTTTGTCTTGAATTCGTCATTCTTTCCATATCTAAGCAGTGGAAATTTGAATTTGTCACCAATAATCGTGTAATATCGTTTGCCTAATTGAAGACTTTGGTGATATCTACTCACCTTTTTTTGTTTTCTGCCAAGGCAACTTTCATAGTAATTTCAATATGATCCACAAAGGATGATATGAAGCTGTGGCTAGAATTTTTGTCTATGTCTGTTATAATGGTGAGAAACAGTCAAGATGGTAGGACTTTGCCTGGGGGTAATGAACTTTAAGTTTGTTACCATTGTGACATTTGTTACAGAATATATATTTCCCTACTATTCCTGTTATATTTAATGATCTTTTATAAGCTATTACAAAATATTTTGCATTTTTTAATGCTTTTTTCAATTCTATGAAGATCACATCAGCATTTTACCCTTCTTTCAAAGCCTCAGTGATTTTGCTATAATTATCTAATGCCTTTTCAAAACCCACATACTGAAGATCACATTACCATTTTATTTTCTGTCTAAAGCCTTAGAAATTTTGTTATAATGATCTAGTAGTTGCAAGAGGCACGAGCTTCCTATTCTAAGGCCACAGTGACTTGGGTTGTGTGGATAGTTTCTCCATAAAATCTTTAATTTAGTAACTGGAGACCCTTTCAAAAACTCTTAGGATCAATGTTAGTGCTACTGGTCTGAAATTTTGTGTACAGAGCAGTAATACTAACACAGTTTCATCCAGGAAAATTATACACAGGCAGGCCCTACTTATACAGCAGGTTAGAATCTGGGCTACTGCTGTAAAGTGAAGAATGCACCAAAGTGAAACAAAGCCTTTTTTTACTTTCAAATGCATAAACAAGCCTGATAACATGTTTACACTATCATATATTAAGTGAGCAATACAACCAAGCCTGAAAAATGCATATACAGTACACATATTGTTTACCTTAAAATATTTTCATCTTTAGCCTAGCAAGTGGTGAATACATTTCCTGTAGAAAGTCTGATTTTTATTATTTTTTTTTTTTTTTTTTTTTTTTTATTATCACACTGGCCGATTCCCACCAAGGCAGGGTGGCCCGAAAAAGAAAAACTTTCACCATCATTCACTCCATCACTGTCTTGCCAGAAGGGTGCTTTACACTACAGTTTTTAAACTGCAACATTAACACCCCTCCTTCAGAGTGCAGGCACTGTACTTCCCATCTCCAGGACTCAAGTCTGGCCTGCCGGTTTCCCTGAACCCCTTCATAAATGTTACTTTGCTCACACTCCAACAGCACGTCAAGTATTAAAAACCATTTGTCTCCATTCACTCCTATCAAACACGCTCACGCATGCCTGCTGGAAGTCCAAGCCCCTCGCACAACAAACCTCCTTTACCCCCTCCCTCCAACCTTTCCTAGGCCGACCCCTACCCCGCCTTCCTTCCACTACAGACTGATACACTCTTGAAGTCATTCTGTTTCGCTCCATTCTCTCTACATGTCCGAACCACCTCAAAAACCCTTCCTCAGCCCTCTGGACAACAGTTTTGGTAATCCCGCACCTCCTCCTAACTTCCAAACTACGAATTCTCTGCATTATATTCACACCACACATTGCCCTCAGACATGACATCTCCACTGCCTCCAGCCTTCTCCTCGCTGCAACATTCATCACCCATGCTTCACACCCATATAAGAGCGTTGGTAAAACTATACTCACATACATTCCCCTCTTTGCCTCCAAGGACAACGTTCTTTGTCTCCAGAGACTCCTAAGTGCACCACTCACCCTTTTCCCCTCATCAATTCTATGATTCACCTCATCTTTCATAGACCCATCCGCTGACACGTCCACTCCCAAATATCTGAATACATTCACCTCCTCCATACTCTCTCCCTCCAATCTGATATCCAATCTTTCATTACCTAATCTTTTTGTTATCCTCATAACCTTACTCTTTCCTGTATTCACTTTTAATTTTCTTCTTTTGCATACCCTACCAAATTCATCCACCAACCTCTGCAACTTCTCTTCAGAATCTCCCAAGAGCATAGTGTCATCAGCAAAGAGCAACTGTGACAACTCCCACTTTGTGTGATTCTTTATCTTTTAAATCCACGCCTCTTGCCAAGACCCTCGCATTTATTTCTCTTACAACCCCATCTATAAATATATTAAACAACCACGGTGACATCACACATCCTTGTCTAAGGCCTACTTTTAGTGGGAAATAATTTCCCTCTTTCCTACATACTCTAACTTGAGCCTCACTATCCTCAAAAAAAAAACTTCACTGCTTTCAGTAACCTACCTCCTACACCATACACCTACAACATCTGCCACACTGCTCCCTATCCACCCTGTCATACGCCTTTTCCAAATCCATAAATGCCACAAAGACCTCTTTAGCCTTATCTAAATACTGTTCACTTATGTGTTTCACTGTAAACACCTGGTCCACACACCCCCTACCTTTCCTAAAGCCTCCTTGTTCATCTGCTATCCTATTCTCCATCTTACTCTTAATTCTTTCAATAATAACTCTACCATACACTTTACCAGGTATACTCAACAAACTTATCCCCCTACAATTTTTGCGCTCTCTTTTGTCCCCTTTGCCTTTACAAAGGAACTATGCATGCTCTCTGCCAATCCCTAGGTACATTACCTTCTTCCATACATTTATTAAATAATTGCACCAACCACTCCAAAACTATATCCCCACCTGCTTTTAACATTTCTATCTTTATCCCATCAATCCCGGCTGCCTTACCCCCTTTCATTTTACCTACTGCCTCACGAACTTCCTCCACACTCACAACTGGCTCTTCCTCACTCCTACAAGATGTTATTCCTCCTTGCCCTATACACGAAATCACAACTTCCCTATCTTCATCAACATTTAACAATTCCTCAAAATATTCACTCCATCTTCCCAATACCTCTAACTCTCCATTTAATAACTAACATGGATACATGTTTGTACAAAAGAATATAATAGTTGGGTGTACATGCCAAAAGCCCCTTTGTATGCAGAGCATTTTGGGCAAACTTAAAAATTAACTAAAGATTAATAAGACAATAACAGAACATATGAGAAGGTGTGGAGTTGATAAAAGTATTAGTCAGAGAGCTGAAGAGGGTTTGCTGAGGTGGTTTGGTCATTTAGAGATAATGGATCAAAGTAGAATGACATGGAGAGCATATAAATTTGTAGGGGAAGGAAGGCGGGGTAGGGGTCGTCCTCGAAAAGGTTGGGGGGAGGGGTCTGGACTTCCAGCAAGCGTGTGTGAGTGTGTTAGATAGGAGTGAATGGAGACAAATGGTATTTGGGACCAGATGATCTGTTGTAGTGTGAGCAGGGTAATATTTAGTGAAGGGATTCGGGGAAACCGGTTATTTTTACACAGCTGGACTTGAGTCCGGGAAATGGGAAGTACAATGCCTGCACTCCAAAGGAGGGGTTCGGGATATTGACGGTTTGGAGGGATATGTTGTGTATCTTTATACTTATATGCTTCTAAGCTGTTGTGTTCTGAGCACCTCTGCAAAAACAGTGATTATGTGTGAGTGAGGTGAAAGAGTTGAATGATGATGAAAGTATTTTCTTTTTGGGGATTTTCTTTCTTTTTGGGTCACCCTGTCTCAGTGGGAGACGGCCGACTTGTTGAAAAAAAAAAATAGATCATTGTATGAGTTACAATGAATACAAAAAAATGTATTAGGTGATGCTATAAGTCTTTTAGAGAAGATGTACAATTTTGATTATTAACCTTAGGCAGACACAATGTAGTGATTAACATTTCAGATGAATACAGATGTTGAGAGTATGTATATACTGATGAGAAAGTTTTGGCTATCTTCATGATATTGAGCAAATATATGTATAGTTTTTACATATGTATCTATGATGGACTGGGAAAGGTTAAGGTGTTTTTAAACTGTCATTTTAAAAATGCTAGCTGAGCCAGTGGTTCTGGAGATTTCTGGCAGAGATTTCCAGATTTTGGGCAATTTTATGCGCAATGAGTTTTTGGAAAGATTTAGCCTGATGCAGGGAATGTCATAGAGGTTTTAGTGTCTAGTGTTGTGTCCGAGTCCTATTGCAACTGTCAACAAAGCATTTCAAGTCTGGATTTATATTAGAACTGACTGTTCTTTAAATGTAGGTTGCACAATACAATGAGTGAATGTTTTGTATAGTGAGTAGGTTTAGCTCTTAGAAGATTGGGGGAGGGGTGTTGTCTAGCAGTGAATTGTATAAGTTCAGAAAGACAATGTGAAACCTTCATATACACAAAAGTCAGAGAAAAAATGAAAGAACACTCAAAGTTTTTGGTAGGGAGGGTGGAGTTACAAGAACCTCTGCCACTATCATCAAAGTGGTGGAGGGAGAGGGCTGGGCAGTAGAAAACTGAGAAACACATGACAGAGACTGTGTGGATTAAAGTAAAGCAAAAAGGAGGAGTATACAAAGTTTTAAATGGGGTTCATATATGTATGGGGTGTGCACATGTGCAAATATACACCACAAGCTTCCCTCCCCATACTGTGGTCCATGCAAGAGCTGTGATGACCTACCTCTGCGGTGTGGGGGAGTGACCACTGGTTCTCGAGGCTCTGACGAAACTGGAGGCCAACGAGCAGCTACCCCTCTAGTCGGCGCTCTGGAATTATTTTCCTTACCTTCTTCTCTGTGCCATAAAAAAAGATAATACATAATATAAAAATATGCTTTGCCTAACTTTTTCAATAACAAGAATTCCATGACAACTTTCCTAAATAATTTATTTCATCTTTAATTTTAAATACCACTTAGAATCTTTTTTTTATTTTACAAGCATTTATTTAACTGTAGTAGGTTGGAAAACAGCATGCGTGTTGTAATAGTCAACTAAAATGCCAGGAGCAATGGGCTAGTAACCCCTTTTCCCGTACGACTTACTAAAAAGAAAGAGACAAAAACCGTCAAAGTGGGATGTTTGAATGTGCATAGTTGTTGAGAATGATGAGCAAGAGATGATTGTGGATGTTATGAATGAAAAGAAGCTGGATGTCCTGACTTTTGTTGAAACAAAGCTGAAGGGGGTAGGAGAGTTTCAGTGGGGTGAAATAAATGGGATTAGGTCAGGGGTTTCTAACAGAATTAGAGCTAAGGAAGGAGTAATAATATTGTTGAAGGATAAGTTATGGCAGGAGAAGAGGGAATATAAATGTATAAATTCAAGGATTGGATGTGAAAAGTGGGTTACAGTGTTTATGCACCTGGGGAAGAGAGAAATGTGGAAGAGAGAGATTTTGGGAAATGTTGAATGAGTGCATGGGAAGTTTTGAACCAAATGAGAGAGTGCAGTGGAACCCCAGATTTTGTCCACATCAGATATTGTACGATTTGGATTCTGACCACTTTTTTGATGAAATTTTGCTCCAGATTTCGTACCAGAAATCATCCACATCAGAAGCGTCCACCCACCCGGGATGCTGCCAATCATGTGTACGTGTCTCAGTCTGGCTCTGTCAATGGTTGAGTGAGCATTTATCCAAAACATTTCATAATAATCCATTGTTTTTTGTGCATGTTTGTCGAGTGCAACTGCTAAATAAGCCACCATGATCCCAAAGAAAGTTCCTAGTGCCAGCTCTTTGGTAAGGAAGGTAAGAAACACGATAGATTTCAAGAAAGAGATTGTAGAAAAATACGAAAGTGATGTACGTGTGGCCGAGCTCGCCAGGATGTATGGCAAGTCCAAATCAACAATCAGTGCCATTCTGGCCAAGAAAGTAGAAATCAAGGAAGCTGATGTTGTGAAAGGGGTGATTAAGAATATTTGTGCAAAGTGGAATGAGGTGCATGTTCAGTGACAATATCTTGTCCCATTTTAGGCAAATCTTAGAGATGCCAAAAACAGAACTCTCTGGACAGATTTTTAGTGGGACAGGGGTCCAGTGCCAGGAAAAGACAAAGAAGGGAAATAACCCCAGATAGTGCTTTGATACCTAAAGTCCTCGTGGAGAGAGATTCCCATTCCAAACAACCTCTGCTCCTCCTCCCTCTCCCCTCTTCGCCATCCATACCCCAACAAGTCTTCAATAAAGGGAAGTGTGATGTTAAATGTTAATTTATCCATTTCATTAGTCATTTATATTCCTTTCTCATTGTTTTCTGTATTTAAAACTACAGTTATTCTTTAAAAATATATTTTAGTTAATATTTTTGGGTGTCTGGAATGGATTAATTGTATTTACATTACAGTGGACCCCTGGATTTCGTAGCCGTTGGATTTTGTAATATTCAGAAACAGTAGCATTTTTTCGTCAAAATATTGACTCGGTGATCGTCACTGAGCTCGGAAAGAGTCATTTGTACCAAACACGTCCGCACAGCAACAGCGGCCCGACACTGTGTGCCACTGTTTATCAGCCGGTGAGCATGATCCCAAGTGTTCATATGATATTCCATTCTTTTCAGTGCTTGCAACTACTAAATAAGCCACCATAGGCCCCAAGGAAGTTCCTAGTGCCAGCACATTCTCCCCAGAGAGAGGGGAGAATGTGCCTTCTTCAGTGATTCTGCGATATGTATGATACTAAAGCAGCAGAAGTCAATAAAGGCTAAAGAGCCAGCCAGCGATAAAGTGTAGCAAGTAAGTTAAGCGATTAATCAATAGAAAAAGGACAGCACGAAACTGACTCCTCCAATGTTGTTGGAGGTACATTGGGCTACTGGCTAACACCGCCATTTCTGCTGCCACCATCACCACCACTATGTAAGGCTTATCTTTCAGTGGCCCTTATACACCCAACAACAAACACTCGTCGGTTTGGGAGAGAGACACACATAACATATTTTATCCATTCTAGAGTATATATCATGTTTTTATGTTATTAATATTGTTTATAATGTCATATTTGATGAATTGTCCTAGATAAATAAGTCGAAGAGTTGGTATTAATGTCATATTGAAGGACTATCTTGTCCTGTCTCCCAACACCACTGCCACCACCACAACCTTTGACGCCAGAAACAGACACCTCTGGAACACTTTTTTTGAGCGACAGGGGTCCAGTGACTCTCAAGCTGGTCCTAGTGGCATTAAAAAACAAAGAAGGGAAGTAACCCCAGAAAAGGACTTGATACCTGAAGTCTTTATAGAAGGTGATTCCCCTTCCAAACAATAGTAACTCCTCCATCCTCTCCCCTTCTCCCATCTTCTACACATCAACAAATCTTCAATAAAGGTGTCATTTTATTATTTTATTCTGCATGTCTCACTGTTTTCTGTGTAGGTAAATATTTTTTTTTTTTTTTTTCAACAAGTCAGCCGTCTCCCACCGAGGCAGGGTGACCCAAAAAAGAAAGAAAATCCCCAAACAGAAAATACTTTCATCATCATTCAACACTTTCACCACACTCACACATTATCACTGTTTTTGAAGAGGTGCTCAGAATACAACAATCTAGAAGCATATACATATAAAGATACACAACATACCCCTCCAAACTGCCAATATCTCAAACCCCTCCTTTAAAGTGCAGGCATTGTACTTCCCATTTCCAGGACTCAAGTCCGATTATATGAAAATAACAGGTTTCCCTGAATCCCTTCGCTAAATATTACCCTGCTCACACTCCAACAGATCGTCAGGTCCCAAGTACCATTCGTCTGCATTCACTCCAATTTAACACGCTCATGCACGCTTACTGGAAGTCCAAGCCTCTCGCCCACAAAACCTCCATTACCCCCACTCTCCAACCCTTTCGAGGACGACCCCTACCCCGCCTTCCTTCCCCTATAGATTTATATGCTTTCCATGCCATTCTACTTTGATCCATTCTCTCTAAATGACCAAACCACCTCAACAACCCCTCTTCTGCCCTCTGACTAATACTTTTATTAACTCCACACCTTTTCCTAATTTCCACACTCCGAATTTTCTGCATAATATTTACACCACACATTGCCCTTAAACAGGATATCTCCACTGCCTCCAACCGTCTCCTCGCTGCTGCATTTACCACCCAAGCTTCACACCCATATAAGAGTGTTGGTACTACTATACTTTCATACATTCCCTTCTTTGCCTCCATAGATAACGATTTTTGACTCCACATATACCTCAATGCACCACTCATCTTTTTTCCCTCATCAATTCTATGATTAACCTCATCCTTCATAAATCCATCCGCCGACGCGTCAACTCCCAAGTATCTGAAAACATTCACTTCTTCCATACTCCTCCTCCCCAATTTGATATCTAATTTTTCTTTATCTAAATCATTTGATACCCTCATCACCTTACTCTTTTCTATGTTCACTTTCAACTTTCTACCTTTACACACATTCCCAAACTCATCCACTAACCTTTGCAATTTTTCTTTAGAATCTCCCATAAGCACAGTATCATCAGCAAAAAGTAACTGTGTCAATTCCCATTTTGAATTTCATTCCCCAAAATTTAATCCCACCCCTCTCCCGAACACCCAAGCATTTACTTCCTTTACAACCCCATCTATAAATATATTAAACAACCATGGTGACATTACACATCCCTGTCTAAGACCTACTTTTACTGGGAAGTAGTCTCCCTCTCTTCTACACACCCAAACCTGAGCCTCACTATCCTCATAAAAACTCTTTACAGCATTTAATAACTAACCACCTATTCCATATACTTGCAACATCTGCCACATTGCTCCTCTATCCACTCTATCATATGCCTTTTCTAACTCCATAAATGCAATAAAAACTTCCCTACCTTTATCTAAATACTGTTCACATACATGCTTCAATGTAAACACTTGATCTACACATCCCCTACCCACTCTGAAACCTCCTTGCTCATCTGCAATCCTACATTCTGTCTTGCCTCTAATTCTTTCAATTATAACCCTACTGTACACTTTTCCTGGTATACTCAGTAAACTTATTCCTCTATAATTTTTACAATCTCTTTTGTCCCCTTTCCCTTTATATAAAGGGACTATACATGCTCTCTGCCAATCCCTAGGTACCTTCCCCTCTTTCATACATTTATTAAACAAAAATACCAACCACTCCAACACTATATTCTCCCCTGCTTTTAACATTTCTGTCATGATCCCATAAGTTCCAGCTGCTTTACCCTCTTTCATTCTACGTAATGCCTCACGTACCTCCCCCACACTTACATTCTGCTCTTCTTCACTCCTAAAAGATGGTAAATGTACATGTAAAAAATTATTATTTTAATGCTTTTGGATGTCTGGAACAGATTAATTGGACTTACATTATTTCTTATGGGGGAAAATGGATTTGGAAATCGTCAGATTCGGATTTAATCACTCTCAGGAACAAATTACGATAACCGGTGGTCCACTGTATTCCTTATAGGAATATTGCTTTGGTTTTCATCCATTTCTGATTTAGACCGACCTTCTGGAATGGATTAAGGACGAAATCCGGGGTTCCACTATACTTATGGTTGGGGATCTTATTGCTAAAGTGGGTAAAAATGTTGTGGAGGGAGTAGTAGGTAAATTTGGGGTGCTATGGGTAAATGAAAATGGGGAGCCTTTAATTGAACTATGTGAAGAAAGAGGTTTGGTAATAAGTAATACATATTTTATGAAAAAGAGTATTAAGTATACAAGATATACAGCACATAATGAAAGTAGTTTGTTAGATTTTGTATTGGTGGATAAAAGGTTGATGGGTAGGCTTCAGGATGTACATGTTTATAAATTTAGGGGCAACTGATATATCGGATCAAGGTAGGGAAGTTTTCATTGCATTTATGGATTTAGAAAATGCATATGATAGTGGATAGGGGAGCAATGTGGCAGATGTTACAAGTATATAAAATAGGTAGTAAGTTACTAAATGCTGTAAAGAGTTTTTATGAGGATAGTGAAGCTCAGGTTAGAAGAGAGGGAGACTACTTCCAGGTAAAGGTGGGTCTTAGACAGGGATGTGTAATGTCACCATGGTTGTTTAATATATTTATAGATGAGGTTGTAAAAGAAGTAAATGCTAAGGTGTTGGGTAGAGGGGTGGGATTAAATTATGGGGAATCAAATGCAAAATGGGAATTGACACAAATACTATTCGCTGATGATACTGTGCTTATGGAAGATTCTAAAGAAAAGTTGCAAAGGTTAGTCGATGAGTTTGGGAGGGTATGTAAAGGTAGAAAGTTGAAAGTGAACATAGAAAAGAATAAGGTGATGAGGGTATCAAATGGTTTAGATAAAGAAAAATTGGATATCAAATTGTAGAGGAGGAGTATGGAAGAAATGAATGATTTCAGATATTAGGGAGTTGATGTTTAAGTGGAAGGATGTATGAAGGATGAGGTTAACCATAAAAATGAAGAAAAAAAGGTGAGTGGGGCATTGAGGTATATGTGCAGACAAAAAAAATTATGTATGGAGGCAAAGAAGGGAATGTATGAAAGTACAGTGTTTTTTTTTTTTTTTTTTTTTCTCTCAACAGGTCGGCCGTCTCCCACCGAGGCAGGGTGACCCAAAAAAAAGAAAGAGAATCTCCAAAAAGAAAATACTTTCATCATTCAACACTTTCACCACACTTGCACATTATCACTGTTTTTGCAGAGGTGCTCAGAATACAACAGTTTAGAAGCATACACATATAAAGATACACAACATATCCCCCCAAACTGCCAATATCCCAAACCCCTCCTTTAAAGTGCAGGCATTGTACTTCCCATTTCCAGGACTCAAGTCCGACTATATGAAAATAACCGGTTTCCCTGTATCCCTTCACTAAATATTACCCTGCTCACACTCCAACAGATCGTCAGGTCCCAAGTACCATTCGTCTCCATTCACTCCTATCTAACACGCTCATGCACGCTTGCTGGAAGTCCAAGCCCCTTGCCCACAAAACCTCCTTTACCCCCTCTCTCCAACCCTTTCGAGGACGACCCCTACCCCGCCTTCCTTCCCCTATAGATTTATATGCTTTCCATGTCATTCTACTTTGATCCATTCTCTCTAAATGACCAAACCACCTCAACAACCCCTCTTCTGCCCTCTAATACTTTTATTAACTCCACACCTTTTCCTAATTTCCACACTCCAAATTTTCTGCATAATATTTACTTCACACATTGCCCTTAAACAGGACATCTCCACTGCCTCCAACCGTCTCCTCGCTGCTGCATTTACCACCCAAGCTTCACACCCATATAAGACTGTTGGTACTACTATACTTTCATACATTCCCTTCTTTGCCTCCATAGACAACGTTTTTTGACTCCACATATACCTCAACGCACCACTCACCTTTTTTCCCTCATCTATTCCATGATTAACCTCATCCTTCATAAATCCATCCGGCGACACGTCAACTCCCAAGTATCTGAAAACATTCACTTCTTCCATACTCCTCCTCCCCAATTTGATATCCAATTTTTCTTTATCTAAATCATTTGACACCCTCATCACCTTACTCTTTTCTATGTTCACTTTCAACTTTCTACCTTTACACACATTCCAACACTTATATGGTACCAACACTTATATGGGTGTGAAGCTTGGGTTGTAAATGCTGCAGCGAGTTGGCGGTTGGAGGCGGAGGAGATGTCCTGTCTAAGGGCAATGTGTGGTGTAAACATTATTCAGAGAATTTGGAGTATGGAAATTAGGAGAAGGTGTGGAGTTAAAAGTATTAGTCAAAGGGCTGAAGAGGGCTTGTTGAGGTGGTTTGGTTATTTAGAGAGAATGGATCAAAGTAGAATGACATGGAGAGCGTATAAATCTGTAGGGAAAGGAAGGTGGGGTAGGGGTCGTCCTCAAAAAGGTTGGAGGGAAGGGGTAAAGGGGGTTTTGTGGACGAGGGGCTTGGACTTCCAGCAAGCACGTGTGAGCATGTTAGATAGGAGTGAATGGAGACGAATGGTATTTGGGACCTGATGAGCTGTTGGAGTGTGAGCAGGGTAATATTTAGTGAAGGGATTCAGGGAAACCAGTTATTTTAATGTAGCCAGACTTGAGTACTGGAAATGGGAAGTACAATGCCTGCACTTTAAAGGAGGGGTGTGGCATACTGGCAGTTTGGAGGGACTTCTGAACTGTCGTATCTGAGCGCCTCTGCAAAAACAGTGATTATGTATGAGTGAGGTAAAAGTGTTGAATGATGATGAAAGCATTTTCTTTTTGGGTCACCCAACATGTGTAACATGAGGCATTTGTAAATTAAGAATGTGTTTAACATGGGCAACTTCAGCTATGGACCTGCTGCATCTGCTGTGTTCTATTTTACATGCATTCCCACTTTCATATCAGACAATGGCCAAAAGCAGCACTGTACAACATCTGTCATGCTGCAAAATATATTAACATAAAAAAAAAAGTACTGTAAGTAAGGATTACTTAATAATAACCTTGTTTGACTGTTGACAGGTTTAAATTCTTTTAAACGACGTGGAGGTGGACGGTTCCTATCTGTTGTCTGCTTGTTGTTAGTGATTCCAGATTCAAACATATCTCTTGTAGAATGAGTTCGTCGACCAATGAGGGCTTCTGCTTCCTGAAAAGTTATTATAAAAAAAATCTTAAGCCTTCATTTTAATACTAGTTGTCATTCTGAACATGTGAAATAGGTACTGTGATTTTAACCAACTGATTTTTCTAACAGACTACCTGCATAGTTTTCTCGGAAATAAATACAGTAAACCCTCAATTATGCAGACTAACAGAGCGGGTGTCGGGTAATGTGCTTGTTGCACATAAAGATGAGACTGTTTTGCCATGACCAACTGTAATGATCAATTTTATTAACCAACAGACAGTCTGCTGTTTCTGAATTAATCTATCCAGTTAATTTTGTTCCATATTTCTATTGTGAGTGTAAAACGAAAGCCTGTAATTGTTTTACATGATGGTAGGATTGCTGGTGTCTTTTGTCTCATAAATATGCAAGACCAGAGGTACGTCTTGCTACTTCTACTTACACTTAGGTCACACTACACATACAAGTACATGTTCATTTATACATACTCATCTGAGTTTTCTTTGATTTTATCTTAATAGTTCTTGGTCTTATTACTTTTCTTTTACATCCATGGGGATGTGGAATGGGAATCTTTCCTCCGTAAGCCATGCATGTTGTAAAAGTCGACTAAAATGCCGGGAACAAAGGCTAGTAACCCCTTTTCCTGTAATAATTACTAAAAAGAATAAGAAGAAAATTGTCAAAGTGGGAAGTCTGAATGTGCATGGATGTTGTGCAAATGATAAGAAAGAGATGATTGTGGATGTTATGAATGAGAAAAGGCTGGATGTCCTGGCTTTAAGTGAAACAAAGCTGAAGGGGGTGGGAGAGTTTCAGTGAAGAGGAATAAACGGGATTAGGTTAGGGGTTTCAAATAAAGTTAGAACTAAGAAGGAGTAGCAATAATGTTGAAGGATAAGTTATGGCAGGAAAAGAGGGACTATAAATGTATTAATTCAAGGATTATGTGGAGTAAAATAAAGGTTGGATGTGAAAAGTGGGTTATAGTAAGCGTATATGCACCTGGAGAAGAGAGAAATGAAGAGGAGAGAGAGAGATTTTGGGAAATGTTGAGTGAATGCGTGGGGAGTTTTGAACAAAGTGCGAGAGTAATGGTGGTTGGGGATTTCAATGCTAAAGTGGGCAAAAATGTTGTGGAGGGAGTAGTAGGTAAATTTGGGGTGCCAGGGGTAAATGAAAATGGGGAGCCTTTAATTGAGCTATGTGTAGAAAGAGGTTTGGTAATAAGTAATACATATTTTATGAAGAGGATAAATAAATACACAAGGTATGATATAGCACATAATGAAAGTAGTTTGTTAGATTATTTATTGGTGGATAAAAGGTTGATGGGTAGGCTCCAGCATGAACACATTTATAGAGGGGCAACTGATATATCAGATCATTATTTAGTTGTAGCTACAGTTAGAGTAAGAAGTAGATAGGAAAAAGGTAACAAGCAAGAGGAAGGTGGAAGTTCGGGTGAGATATAAGCAACTATTGACAGAAAGGTGGGCTGGTGCATGTATGAGTTGTGGAATGGGAGGGGGGGGGTGGAAGAGGGTTGGAATAGTTTTAAAAATGCAGTATTAGAATGTGGGGCAGAAGTTTGTGGTTACAGGAAGAAAGAGGAGTGATTGGTGGAATGATGAAGTAAAGGGTGTGATAAAAGAGAAAAAGTTAACTTATGAGAGGTTTTTACAGAGCAGAAGTGTTATAAGAAGAGTAGAGTATATGGAGAGTAAAAGAAAGGTAGAGAGAGTTGTGAGAGAGTGCAAAAGGAGAGCAGATGCTAGAGTGGGAGAGGCACTGTCAAGAAATTTTAATGAAAAGAAAAAATTTTGGAGTGAGCTAAAAAAGTTAAGAAAGCCAAGAGAACGAATGGATTTGTCAGTTAAAACAGAGTAGGGGAGTAAGTAGATGGGGAGATGGAGGTTTTGAGTAGATGGCGAGAATATTTTGAAGAACTTTTAAATGTCGACGAAGAAAGGGAAGCGGTAATTTCATGCACTGGCCAGGGAGGTATACCATCTTTTAGGAGTGAAGAAGAACAGGATGAGAGTGTGGGGGAGGTGCGTGAGGCATTACGTAGAATGAAAGGGGGTAAAGCAGCTGGAACTGACGGGATCATTACAGAAATGTTAAAAGCAGGGGGGGATATAGTGTTGGAGTGGGTGGTATTTTTGTTTAATAAATGTATGAAAGAGGAGGAGGTACTTAGGAATTGGCAAAGAGCATGTATAGTCCCTTTATATAAAGGGAAGGGGGACAAAAGAGATGGTAAAAATTATATAGGAATAAGTTTACTGAGTATACCAGGAAAAGTGTACAGTAGGGTTATAATTGAAAGAATTAGAGATAAGACAGAATGTAGGATTGCGGATGAGCAAGGAGGTTTCAGAGTGGGTAGGGGATGTGCAGATCAAGTGTTTACATTGAAGCATATATGTGAACAGTATTTAGATAAAGGCAGGGAAGTTTTTATTGCATTTATGGATTTAGAAAAGGCATATGATAGAGTGGATAGGGGAGCAATGTGGTAGATGCTGCAAGTATATGGAATAGGTGGTAAGTTAATATATGCTGTAACGAGTTTTTATGAGGATAGTGAGGCTCAGGTTAGGGTGTGTAGAAGAGAGGGAGACTACTTCCCAGTAAAAGTAGGTCTTAGACAGGGATGTGTAATGTCACCATGGTTGTTTAATATATTTATAGATTGGGTTGTAAAACAAGTAAATGCTAGGGGTGTTTGGGAGAGGGGTGGGATTAAATTATGGGGAATCAAATATAAAATGGGAATTGACACAGTTGCTTTTTGCTGATGATACTGTGCTTATGGGAGATTCTAAAGAAAAATTGCTAAGATTAGTTGATGAGTTTGGGAGTGTGTGTAAAGGTAGAAAGCTGAAAGTGAACATAGAAAAGAGTAAGGTGATGAGGGTATCAAATGATTTAGATAAAGAAAAATTGAATATCAAATTGGGGAGGAGTAGTATGGAAGAAGTGAATGTTTTCAGATACGTGCTTGGGAGTTGACATGTTGGCAGATGGATTTACGAAGGATGAGGTTAATCATAGAACTGACAAGGAAAAAAAGGTGAGTGGTGCATTGAGGTATATGTGGAGACAAAAAAATGTTATCTATGGAGGCAAAGAAGGGAATGTATGAAAGTATAGTAGTACCAACACTCTTATGGGTGTGAAGCTTGGGTTGTGAATGCAGCAGCGAGGAGGCAGTTGGAGGCAGTGGAGATGTCCTGTCTAAGGGCAATGTGTGGTGTAAATATTATGCAGAAAATTCGGATTGTGGAAATTAGGAAAAGGTGTGGAGTTAATAAAAGTATTAGTCAGAGGGCTGAAGAGGGGTTGTTGAGGTGGTTTGGTCATTTAGAGAGAATGGATCAAAGTAGAATGACATGGAGAGCATTTAAATCTGTAGGGGAAGGAAGGCGGGGTAGGGGTCGTCCTCGAAAAGGTTGGAAGGAAGGGATAAGGGAGGTTTTGTGGGCGAGGGGCTTGGACTTCCAGCAGGCGTGCATGAGCATGTTCGATAATGAATGGAGACGGATGGTATTTGGGACCTGACGATCTGTTGGAGTGTGAGCAGGGTAATGTTTAGTGAAGGGATTCAGGGAAACCGGTTATTTTGATATAGCCGGACTTGAGTCCTGGAAATGGGAAGTACAATGCCTGCACTTTAAAGGAGGGGTTTGGGATATTGGCAGTTTGGAGGGATATGTTGTGTATCTTTATACGTATATGCTTCTAAACTGTTGTGTTCTGAGCACCTCTGCAAAGACAGTGATTATGTGTGAGTGAGGTGAAAGTTGTTGAATGATGATGAAAGTATTTTCTTTTTGGGGATTTTCTTTCTTTTTTGGGTCACCCTACCTTGGTGGGAGATGGCCGACTTGTTAAAAAAAAAAAAAAATTCTATTGGTCCTAGGTAATTGGTTGGAAGACAGCAACCACCCAGGGAGGTACTACTGTCCTGCCAAGTGAGTGTGAAATGGATACCTGTAATTGTTTCACAAAATGGTAGGATTGCTGGTGTCTTTTTTCTGTCTCATAAACACTCGAGATAACAGGTACATCTTGCTACTTCTACCTAAGATTATGCGAATCAAGTGCCTTTAGTGATGACATTCAGTAATGATCAAGAAGTCAAGCTCAATGTCACAATGTACCATTAGGATGGCAAACAATTCAGCGTAATTCTTATGCCTAACTCAAGTTGGATGCTATAATTTTCACCCAGCGAGGTGACAAGATGTAACCCTGCCAGTAGACTCCTGTTGAGATCCACCAGTATGAGAAAATACAATCATCTACTCTAATTGCATCTTTCTCAGCAACTCTAGCAGTACAGTGCTAGTGATCAGTCAGCATGATTATACTTGAAATGTTGTACGTTAAGTTATCACAGTAATTACATGTTTTGTACATTTAGGAGCAAGGAGATAGTAACCCCTTTGTCTGTATAAATTACCGAATGTAAAAAACTTTTTTCTTTTTAGGTCACCCTGTCTCAGTGGGACATGGCTGGTTCGTTAAAAAAGAAAATTGTACAGTTAGTGACAGTACTTTTTTTTTAACCCTTTGATTGTCACAAGCCCATTTCTGAAATTGTCATTCTATGTTGCAAAATTTTTGGAAAAAAACAAAAATTTCTTATGAAATGATAAAAAATCTTTTCCCAATGGTAGTGACACCAAAAGTACGAAACTTGATCAAAAACTTATGGAATTACGCTCCCACGAAGTTAGTGATCTCGGCAATATAGTATAAGCATCAGTGATTTCGTCGACTTTGAACCCTATTTTCGGCCAATTCCATTGTTCCAGTTGATCAAACTCATAGCTATTTCTTTAGAACTCCATTTTTTCTATCAACTGAGTACAAGAAACTGCCCATTTACCAATTTCAACTACCCAATAAAGTGGTCAGAAATTGGCAATTTGGCCAATTTCACGCAAATTAAAAAGATGCCAATTTAAAAATTGTGTCCAGAATAAACAATGCAGACATTCCTGGCACTAAAATAACATATCCTCTGTTCATTAGTCACATCTCTAGGCCCCTCTTATACTACTATTGCTTTCTATTTTGATATTTTATTCTTACAAAAAATACAAAACTTACTGTTATGCAGACTCCTGCATAATTGTAAAAATGGTATAAATAATATTAGTGCACTAGTGAAAGAATATTCGACTCCCCATTTGACGTGTATTGGACGTGTGGTGTGATTTGCTTCCTCTTGAACATTGGTAAAAATCGAACATTTCTACTACTTTGAGCTTAATTTCAAGGTCGTCTTCGAGAAACTAATCAAAATCATCTCTATTTCTGTAATATGTTTTCCATTCTATCAAATGAGACCAAGAAAACGAGAATGCAACAATAAATACTACATGAAAATACACCTCAAAGTCGGTGTTTTAATCCAAAAGCACGGTCGGAGTTTTTTTTTTTCTCATTATGCACTACATGCTGCAGGATTTTTTTTTATACAGTGCACACTGACCACACAGACCCATTCTCTCACATGTGGGCCTACTAGCTTTCTCCTGCTTGATTTGAAGTTGCTAGAATTATTGAATACATATACATCCGAAACACTGGCTCGCAAGACGTATATATATACGGCTGAAACAGTCAAAGGGTTAATAATATGCAATGTCAAGTCAACATCAACCTTGACACACTCCAGCCATATGAAGTCTAAATACTGACCATCAAAAATACTAAATGCCTTTCAGAATTTATTCTCTTGTTTATAATTACTGGAATATCTAACCTTGATTACCCAAAATACTCCTGTGAAGAGACCCTGATTTATGAAAAACGAACAATGTAAGCGTGTATAAAGTACATTTTTAAAAGATTGTAACTGACTGAAAACATGCTCAGTACACTTAATTAGAATAAATTAACTAATAAGACAGTCACATTTACTATGCCAAGGTACAGGACCTGGAAACACTAACTACGTATATCCAAAACTTTCATTCTGTTAACTCTCATTCACAAACCAGGTGCCCAATCCATAATAACTTGTATTTTATATAAAAGTTATTTGGATTAAAGCGGCTAACAGTAGCATAATGAAATACCAACCTTTTTGCGTTCTAGTCTCATGATCTCAGCTCGCTTTGCTCGCTCTGCTTCTTCATGGTGTTGACTCTCCAACTCCTGCTGCCACTTCTGGTCTCGGTGAGCAGCAAGATGATGATCGGCATTTTGTTCAGCTTTGCGCTCGGCCAAAATGCGCGCATTTCTCTCTCTGGTTAATTGTTCACGATGCTGAGCATCAGTCAACTGAAAAATTAAATAGAATCAAACTAATAAATAAAAATATAAGGAAGGTAAAACGAAAGCCTGTAATTGTTTTCCATGATGGTAGGATTGCTGGTGTCCATTTTTCTGTCTCATAAACATGCAAGGTTTCAGGTACGTCTTGCTACTTCTACTTACACTTAGGTCACACTACACATACATGTACAAGCATATACAGGTCTCCCTCAACATTCACGTTTTCAACTTTCACAGGCTTCACACATTCGTGAATTCCCAACCGCCAAATTCCCAGCCACCAAATTCCCAGCCGCCAAATCATATTTAAGTTTCCCGCCACCTGCGAGTCCCTACTACCCTCCCTCCGACCCCTACAACTGGCAGCCAGCCCTCCCACCACTGTATGGTGAGTGTTTTGTTTGTTCATAATTTGCTATTAAACTACAGTATAAATAATGTAAACCCATTCATGACTGCATATTGGAATGGCTATTAGGAAAGGTATTAGACGGTGATATCATGTGTTTACTCTTGAACGCTGCAAAGAATTAAACATTTCTGCTACAGCTAATAATAACAATAGTAATAATAATAATAATAATAATAATAATAATAATAATAATAAATATGATATAATTGAAGAAGGAAATTGTACAAAAATACGAGGGAGTGGTTGACACATCTTCAGTGTGACTTTGTTTATGCTGGAGTGAACGTTAGTCTCCCTGCTCTTCCAAACATTTCACAATAATTCATTGTGTTTGGTGCTTGTAGATTGAGTGTGACTGGAGTGGTAGAGGCAGTGATTGAGGCAATGGTATTTAATAACATACATGTTAATAATAATATGTACTATTATTATTTATAACATATATGTTATTAAATACATATATGTTAATAATAATACATGTTATTAATAATAACATGTACTATTATTATTTATAACATATATGTTATTAAATACCACTGCCTCAACCGCTGAATTCTTGTGAAATGTTTGGAAGAGCAGGGAGACTAATGTTCACTCCAGCATAAACAAAGTCACACTGACGATGTGTCAACCACTCCCTCGTATTTTTGTACAATTTCCTTCTTCAATTATATCGTATTTATTATTATTATTATTATTACTATTGTTATTATTAGCAATAGCAGAAATGTTCGATTCTTTGCTGTGTTCAAGAGTAAACACATGATGTCACCATCTAATACCTTTCCTAATAGCCATTCCAATATGCAGTCATGAATGGGTTTACATTATTTATACTGTAGTTTAATAGCAAATAATGAACAAACAAAACACTCACCACACAGTGGTGGGAGGGCTGGCTGCCAGTTGCGGGGGTCGGAGGGAGGGTAGTAGGGACTCGCAGTGGTGGAGGCAGTGGTATTTAATAACATACATGTTATTAAATAACATACATTATTAAAGCATAACATGTATATATTTAGTATAATTTACGACGTTTTCATGTACTGTATTTTATGATTATTCATGGTTCAACAAGTTAAGGAAGCAGTATTGTAATATATTTCCCTACAATATATTGGGGCACCAAACATTCACGGTTTTTCAACATTCGCGAGGCTCTTGATCCCCTAACCCTCGCGAATGTTGAGGGAGACCTGTATATATATACACACCCCTCTGGGTTTTCTTCTATTTTCTTTCTAGTTATTGTTCTTGTTTATTTCCTCTTATCTCCATGGGGAAGTGGAACAGAACTCTTTCTCCGTAAGCCATGTGTGTTGCAAGAGGCGACTAAAATGCCGGGAGCAAGGGCTAGTAACCCCTTCTCCTGTATAAATTACTAAATTTAAAAAGATAAACTTTTGTTTTTTCTTTTTGGGCCACCCTGCCTCGGTGGGATGCAGCCGGTTTGTTGAAAGAAAGAAAGAAGAATAAGGAAGGTAAATTAACCAGTACAGTGCAAAAAAATAGTACTGTACATGTTTTGCATTTTCTTAATCTAACCCTGCAAGCTGTAAGTTACTTGGTAGTTTCTTAATGCATACAGTTTCCTTGTGAGGTAGTGACATGATTAACCTTTTAACCATGGGAGGTCATGCATTCTTAATTAACATACCCATATACATATACAAACATACACACACACAAACATACACACATTCAAACATACATACATACACACACACACATACACACACACACAGGAAGGATGATGGGGAGTTTACAAGAAACGACCAAGAGGTATGTTAGGAATTCAACATGAGATTTAAAGAAGTATTTACATTGGAAACAGGTAGGACTCCAGGAAATCAGAACAGGGAGATACACCAACAAGTGCTGGATGAGGTACACATAACCGAGGAGGAGATGAAGAAGCTGCTATGTTAACTTGATACCTCAAAGGAGGTGGGACCAGACATCTCTCCGTGGGTCCTTAGAGAGGGAGCAGAGATGCTGTGTGTGTGACTAACAAAGATCTTCAACACATCCAGTGAAACTGGGCAACTACCTGAGGTATGGAAGATAGCAAATGTCCCAATTTTTAAAAAAGGAGACAGACACGAAGTGTTAGACTACAGATGTGTGTCACTAATGTGTATAGTATACAAAGTCATGGAGAAGAACATCAGAAGAGTGGTGGAGCACCTGGAAAGAAACAAGCATATAATCAACAACCAGCACGGTTTCAGGGAAGGAAAATCTTGTGTCACAAACCTACTGGAGTTTTATGACAAGGTGACAAGTAAGACGAGAGAGAGAGGGGTGGATAGATTGCATTTTCTTGGACTGCAAGAAGGCCTTCGACACAGTTCTTCACAAGAGGTTACTGCAAAAAGCTAGAGGATCAGGCACACATAACAGGAAAGGCACTGCAATGGATCAGAGAATACCTGATAGGGAGGCAACAACGAGTCGTTGTATGTGACAAGGTGTCAGAGTGGGCGCCTCTGACAAGCAGGGTTCCACAGGGATAGTCCTAGGACCTGTGCTGTTTTTGGAATATGTGAATGACATAATGGAAGGGATAGTCTCAGAAGTGTCCTTGTTTGCAGATGATGTGAAGTTAATGAGGAGAATTAAATCGGTCGAGGATCAGGCAGGTCTACAGAGAGACCTAGACAGGCTACAAGCCTGGTCCAGCAACTGGCTCCTTGAATTTAACCCTGCCAAATGCAGTCATGAAGATCAGGAAAGGACAAAGAAGACTGAAGACACAGTATAGTCTAGGTAGCCAAAGATGGCAAACCACACTCAAGAAATAAGATCTTGGGATGAGTATAATACCAAGCACATCTCCTGAGATGCACATCATTCAGATAACTGCTGCAGTGTATGGGCGTCTGGAAAACCTAAGGATAGCATTCCGATACCTCAGTAAGGAATCGTTCAAGACTCTGTATACCATATACGTCAGGCCCATACTGGAGTATGCAGCACCAGTTTGGAATCTACACCTGGTCAAGCATGTCAAGAAATTAGAGAAAGTGCAAAGGTTTGCAACAAGACTAGTCCCAGAGCTAGGGAGACTGTCCTACGAAGAAAGGTTATGGGAAATTGGCCTGATGACACTGGAGGACAGGAGGGTCAGGGGAGACATGATAACGACATATAAAATACTGCGTGGAATAGACCAGGTGGACAAAGACAGGATGTTCCAGAGATGGGACACAGAAACAAGGAGTCATAATTGCAAGTTGAAGACTCAGATGAGTCAAAGGGATGTTAGGAAGTATTCTTCAGTCATAGTTGTCAGACAGTGGAATAGCTTAGAAAGTGATGTAGTGGAGGCAGGAACCATACATAGTTTTAAGATGAGGTTTGATAAAGTTCATGGAGCAGGGAGAGAGAGGGCCTAGTAGCAATCAGTGAAGAGGCAGGGCCAGGAGCTATGAATCAACCCCTGCAACCACAAATAGGCGAGTACAAATAGGTGAGTATACACACACACACACACACACACACACACACACACATACACACACACACACATGCACATGCACATAAAGTAAAATAAATAAAATAAAATAAAAAACTTCATTTCCCTGTGAAACAAGTACATACTTACGTCAGTCTACACATGGTGCTGAGCCAGTGTTACCCATGATGCACCACATGAATCTGCATAGGCCTACACTTTTTCCTAGGAATAATGTGGTAGAGAATCCAAACAGTCAAGCCAAGGCCTAAAATGGCTGCACAGTGAACCTTAACACACACAAATTACATACTTGCACATCACACATATTTGGTCCCATTAGTATATGTACATTACATACAGTTAAAGGGTTAAAATTAAACTCTAAGCATGTACATCCCCTCATCCTACCTCTCTACTAGTTCCTCACTATATCCCATCTATTCACCAGACTATGAACACTGAAAGTACAACAGTGCAGTAACGACTGCAATAGTGAAAAAAGCTACATTTCTTATATTATTGTCACACAAAAGCTTGTGCATACCACACACTAAGTTTTAACACTCAACTTTGTTGCTGTGCTTTCTCTACCATAAGAACATACTGAGAGAACTTAATACATACTGAAGCAATCTGACATTAATTAATGCATGAGAACAACCACAAGGAATATTTCCTTCACTCAAAATTCTATTGACAAGTTTTTTTTTTTTTTTTCAACAAATCGACCGTATTCCACTGAGGCAGGGTAACCTAAAAAGAAAAACCAAAGTTTTTCTTTTTAAATTTAGTAATTTACACAGGAGAAGGAGTTCCTAGCCCCTTGCTCCCAGCATTTTAGTCGCCTCTTATGACATGCATGGCTTATGGAGGAAGAATTCCATCCCATTTACCTATGGAGATTAAAGGAAATAAGGAATAATAAGAGCTAGTAAGAAAATAAAAGAAAACCCAGATGGGTATGTACATATATGCTGGTACATGCATATGTAGTGTGACCTAAGTGAATGTAAAAGTAGCAAGATGTACCTGATATCCCATTTGTTTGAGACAGGAAAAAAAAAAGAAGACACCAGTAATCCTACCATCATGTAAAACAATTACAGGTTTCCATTTCATACTCGCTTGGCAGGACGGCAGTACCTCCCTGGGTGGTTGCTGTCTACCAACCTAATACCTAGGTGACAAATCTCTTGTATTTCTGTAAAAAGTTTGTGAGAACGCTACACAATACAGTGGACCCCCGCAAAACGATCAGCTCCCAACTCGACCAATTATGTAAGTGTATTTTTGTAAGTGCTTTTGTAGGTGTATTTTTGGGGGTCTGAAACGGACTAATCTAATTCACAATATCTCTTATGGTAACAAATTCGGTCTATAACGGCACCCAAACAGACTTCTGGATTGAAATAATATCGTTATGCGGGGGTCCACTGTATTTACAGGGATGATGTCAAGAATCAATATTGTATATAAAGCTTCTAGCTCAGAGTTACCTCTCTCTGTTTACGCTCTCTTTCCAGCTTTTTAATTTCTTCTTCCTTGCGGAGTTGTTCTTCAGTTTTCCTCCTCCTCTCCTCTGCCTCTTGCTCCTCCCAAAACTTATTCCGAGACTTTGAGTCTATCTCGGCTAAGGGATTTGTGCGCTTGTAATTAGTGCCCTGTAAATTAGGTAAAATTGTAAGTTGCTAATTTAGAATAATCTTGGGGTGATGTTAAAATCAAAATGACATGAGTAAATGTTATTAACAATTTGCAATTTTTTTCCTTTAACTTATACTGTACTTTATACAAAGACTTAAAAAAATGATGATTCAAGAAATTTTCACTTACGTTTAAGTCTATATTACAAAGCAGATAATATATGACCCCAAAAAAAATTAACAGAAATTTTTGTAAATAAAGTTTATTTATTAGCTAGAAATAGTAGTACTGTATTATACATATCAAAAGAGGAGTAAAAAACTAAATCAAAGCATAAATTAACAACTGACGTAATTCACAGTTAGCAAATATTAGTAAAAAGAGTTAGATATATTGTACAAAACTAATACTCCAGATCTGAGGTGGAAAACAAAACAGAAAAACAAGCTACAGTATAATTTATTCTCAAGTGTTGATAGTGAGAAGAAAAAATCGCAGTTGGAAAGTAACCAAGAGAATAAGGGGATTATGGGTAAAACTTACCAAATCAGGTTTCATTTTGTGTTTAGGCTTTATAGAGGGGAAAATTTGGGAGCCATCACCATAGGCTACAGCAGGACCATTAGCACCACTAGGCATCAGCTATAACACAAACAGCAAGCTTAGAGACTCACGGTACCATTGACATACATCAACGTGGGTGTAGCATGATATGGCAAGAAGGGAGTTGTGGTAGGACAGGATAGGACAGGAACTGGTAGGACTGTTATATTCCAAGGGAAGTGATAAACCAGGAGCAGCCGTACAGTGCCTGAGAATGAGAGGTAACCAGGCTGGATCCAAGGAAGCGTAGCTCCAATTCCTTTAATCAGGAATTCTTTACCAGCAGCATGGCACCCCTCTTTCCCCAGGGGAGGAACTGGTAGATGTTAGACCAGGATAATATTAAAAAGGTCATATTATAGGATAGAGGAGCAGGTCAGGTACGTGACAGTGCCACTACACTGCAGTAGTTGAAGGTAGTGATTGTGACTGCTAGTACTGGCAACCTAGAACACAAACACAGAGAGTAGTTTTTTTTTTTTTTTTTGTGTGTGTGTGTGTGTGTGTGTGTGTGTGTGTGTGTGTGTGTGTGTGTGTGTGTGTGTGTGTGTGTGTGTGTGTTTGTTTGTTTGTTTTGTAATAACCTAATTTTACTCACCTAATTGTGGTTGCAGGGGTCGAGACTCGACTCCTGACCCCACCTCTTCACTGGTCGCTACTAGGCCCTTTCTCTTCCTGCTCCACGAGATTTATCATACCTCGTCTAAAAACTATGTACGGTTCCTGCCTCCACTACATCACTTGCCAGATAACTCTATAACTGAAGAAATGCTTCCTAACATCCCTTTGACTCATCTGAGTCTTCAACTTTCAAATGTGACCCTTTGTTTCTGTGTCCCCTCTCTGGAACATCTTGTCTCTGTCCATCTTATCTATTCCTCACAGTATTTTGTATGCTGTTATCATGTCTCCCCTAACCCTCCTGTCCTCCGGTGTCGTCAAACTGATTTCCCTTAACCTTACTTTGTAGGGCATTCCCCTTAGCTCTGGAACTAGCCTTATTGCAAACCTTTGCACTTTCTCTAATTTCTTGACGTGCTTGACCAGGTGTGGGTTCCAAGCTGGTGCTGCATACTCCAGTATGGGCCTGACATACATGGTGTACAGAGTCTTGAACGATTCCTTACTGAGGTACTGGAACACTATTCTCAGGTTTGCCAGGCACTCATATGCTGCAGCAGTTATCTGGTTGATGTGCACTTCTGGACATGAGTTTGGTATTATACTCACCCCAAGATCTTTCTCCTTGATTGAGGTTTGCAGTCTTTGGCTGCTTAGCCTACACTCTGTCTGTGGTCTTCTTTGCCCTTGCCCGATCTTCATGACTTTGCATCTGGCGGGGTCAAATTTGAGGAGCCAGCTGCTGGACCACATGTCCAGCCTGTCCAGGTCTCTTTGTAGTCCTGCCTGATCCTCATCTGATTTAATTCTCCTCATTAACTTCACATTATCTGCAAACAGGGACACTTCTGAGTCTATCCCTTCTATCATGTCATTCACATATACCAAAAATAGCACTGATCCTAGGACCCCTGTGGGACCCCTCTTGTCACAGGCGAGTGTGTGTGTGTGTTTTGTGTGTGTGTTTTGTGTGTGTGTTTTGTGTGTGTGTTTTGTGTGTGTGTTTTGTGTGTGTGTGTTTTGTGTGTGTGTGTTTTGTGTGTGTGTGTTTGTGTGTGTGTGTGTTTTGTGTGTGTGTGTGTTTTGTGTGTGTGTGTTTTGTGTGTGTGTGTGTTTTGTGTGTGTGTGTGTTTTGTGTGTGTGTGTGTGTTTTGTGTGTGTGTGTTTTGTTGTGTGTGTGTTTGTGTGTGTGTGTTTTTGTGTGTGATGTGTTTTGTGTGTGGTGTGTTGTGTGTGTGTGGTGTTGTTTGTGTGTTTTGGTTGTGTGTGGAAGTTTTGTGTGTGTGTTGTGTTGCATGTGCACAAGCATGTATGTACTATTGCAATCGTGGCATAGTGGCTGGGCACCACACACGAGATAATCAGTAGATAGGGCACCTTAGTTAGCTTGGTTTAGTTTTTCATACAATCACAGCCCCTTAAGAATCCATTGCATTTATGTTCAAATATGAAAATTATGTTACACTGCCTCGGTGGGAGCGGCCCGACTTGTTGAAAAAAAAAAAAAAATTTACACAAATCTTATTCTAATAAAGAGTCTACACAATTTGAACAAGCATATGAATTGTTATACAAGCTTGATAAACATCTTTGCACATTAGTTCTGGACATTTTACAAAATTCCCATGTATTTTTTGAGACAATGTCTGTAAAAATTTAAAAACTACAATTCACTTCACTCTTTAACTTCTAATTCAAGATCATTGCTCACTGCTTCATTTTTAAGATAAAACAAAATTTCTAATCATGTTGATGGAAACTCTAAGATGTACGGATTTAATGGTAGTTTATTCAAGGAACATGAAAAATTATATATACATCAAGCTATGAATGTTAACATGATCACAGACAGTTGTAACATGGTTGCATAATGATCATATAGTCAAAAGAATGGTCCTAAGACAGTGTCCAGTGATCCAGACAGGTTACATGGTTACAATTGGACTATACTGGAGAGGATAATTCTGGAGCAGTGATGTCAGTGATCCATACTAGGTGTAACATGGTACAATTGATCCATACTGGTCAGAAGGATGGTTCTCAGGACAGTGGTCCAGTAATCCAGACCAGGTGTAACATGGTACAATTGACCTATACTGGAGAGGATAATTCTTGGGACAGTGGTCTAGTGATCCATACTAGGTGTAACATGGTACAATTGATCCATACTGGTCAGAGAGGATAATTTTCAGAGCAGTCATCCAGAATGTTTTTTGAAACTTCCATTACACTGAAATTATAATGGCACTTTAAACTGTTTCATAAAACTTCAAGAAAGTAAGTAATATAATTTCTGGCATATATTAATACAAAAAATAGCAATGGATTCTTACTGTGGTCCCATATAAGCATCTTCAATTCATAGTTAGCCCACAAAAAATAAACAGGCACTTTCAATATTATTTTAGTAAAAACTTGTTGGTAACTTGCATTACACTTTTGAAGAATGAGAATATTTCTGTGTATGGTCTTCAGGAAACACCAGGAACACACTCAGGCCACAGTCACACTTTCTTCTTATAATAAATATCCCAGTTGAACTACCTCACTTTTTAGCTCAGTATGCCTCCCTTTGCTCCTGTTTTTTATCTATTCCCACTCTCTGAGCCACAACTAATAAAGCAGCTGGAGATCATGGTAAAATGACATGGATATGTGGTGGTAAATAGTTTTTCATATAGTGCTGTGTATTTGGGTTCTGATGACCTACAAGGAACTTTACCATCACTACCCAAAATCACAAAAGAAGCAATGGTATGTAGAGGCAAGGAATACAAGTGTCCTGACACACAGACAGGAATGTTGCAAACATCTTAGAAAAAGCTATTAAAGGAAAACAGATGAAACACTTAGAGAATAAAAACAGCAAATTCCTGCATATCAAATGTTTAAAGTTAATAGGAACCTCACAAATCTGAAGAAGGATGGGTAAATTGCCCTTATTTATATTTTAAGAAAGCTTTCAAATAAGCTCCTTACTAAAAACTAATCTGGAAACTGTAAAATAGTGAAAGAATAAGAAGCCAACTACAAGTGTCCCTTGTTGTATGCTATAGATGTGTTAAGAGGCCCCTGGCAGTTGTACTAACTCAATCAAGTCAAAAACATTCAATTATGGACAAAAAAATCTTCAACGCACTCTGTGATCCATGCCAACTGCACAAAGAGATTGAAAATCAAATGAAATTAGAAATAAAAATCGGACATTACATAACAAATTCAAAGAATCCACAAAAAAAATGGAGACCAGTATCCCAATGGGCAAGAGATGTCCTATTATAAGGCTAAATGTGAGCAGTGATAAGTGATAAAATGTCCTCGTGGAGGTACTCTCATCAGTGGGGACCTACAATAATGTCACTAATCAAAATAAACAGTCTGCCAAAATTAATTCAAAATTACAGTACATGAAGATGTTAATGGATGATCCAAAAATAATAAGCAAAATAAGCAATAAATTTGACTGTGCAACCCAGCAGAAACATCTGAAAAGATTGAGCAAGTGAAGTGAGAAATGAATAATGAATTTTTAAGTGGAAAAGTGGCCTGTAATAGAAATGAGACGGAAATACTGCCACACAAACAATTATTTTGTGTAACAGAATATTAAAAAAAGTCAAGCATCACTGACAATAACATTCTCACTGGAAAATCAAATAAATGCAATACTGGTGAGAAATTATAAAAAAAAAAAAGTTAATCGAATGGAGGCACCATATTTTCCATCTGAAGAACATGAGAATAGTTAACTGACATTTCTAAATTCCTTTATCAATGGTACCTTGCTAAGACTCCAAAAGGACATAAAATCCCAAAATGCCAATTTTTCCACTACCTTCAATCTATCACTAACACACTGAAATTAGACACATGTGCAACACTTTGGTATCTTTATTGATACCCAAGAGTTGCACATGTGTCTAATTTATCAACATGTTGGTTCTCTGAACCATTCATCTACACAGAGATTCTGCTTTTGACTCTCGCCTCGGCAGGTCATAGCAGTTCTCCTTACTTACTCTGTCTCCCTACGATCCCCAACAGGGATCATAGGGAGACAGATGATTCAACGAAGCTTGCTCTTGCAACTGTTGTGCAGGGATCATTGCAAGTGAAATTCAACGCTATTTTGTCATTGAAAGAAGCATTCATTGTTGTGTGTCACGATGCTGAAGCAGAGAAGTTACTCACTACAGAAACCACCACTATTCTTACTGCTCAATGGATTTACTGTTACATCCTCTCCTGCCCTCAGGGCAAGAAAATCAGTATTCCTAAAAAAATTGGACAAGATTCTGACTTCTCAACCAATTGCTGAACTCAAGTCATCCATTGAAACTCAAAATACTTGGGCTACTGTTGACAGCATTACTAAAATCCCGAATGCATCGTCTATACTCAAGGTCACCTTCACCGACGTGAACATGGCTGCCACTGCTCTGAATGAAGGTCTTGCTGTTCACTACTATTACATCAGTCCCACCTACATAGAAGCAGAAAGATACCACTACATCCAACATTGCTGGAACTGTTATTCTTATCTTCACATCACCAAAGCATGTCCAGTAAAAGACAAGAAGTTCTGCACTACATGTGGGAGTGAGGGACACACCTTCAATTCCTGTACCGCTGCTGCTCCAACACAACCAGCGTGTTTAAACTGCAAAAGTAATGATCACCATACACTGGCAGCAAAATGTCCTACAAGAAAGGATATTATGAAGAAACAACAAGATGCAACAAAGAAAAAATCAACCAACAAGACACCAACGTATGCCACAATTGCAAAGTTGCAAGCAGACACTACAAAA